ATCATAACTCCCGTGAACTTTTGCAGACATTTCATGTACTAGTCTTCTCCTGTGGACATTTCAGCCAAACTGACCTGCCTGCTATTTCCTAAACATTTCCAAATGCTGCTGCACATCTCATGCCTGGATGCACAGCCCCAGTGCCACCATCTCAAAGAACCCCTAGCTTTCTCCAAGATGGCTCAGGTGCTACTCAATGCTCTTACAGCGATAGTATTTTCTCCCTCAAATTATCTTACATTTACTTATCTGTGATCAAGTTGTCTCCTACCTCTTCTCCCTACTCCCCATCAATATAAGCTCCTAGAGGGCAGGGAACATTTCCTTTTTGCTTTGTATCCCCAAGCTTTTCATGTGATAAGCACTTAACCTTTGTTAAACTGATTAAAAATCTGGTACTTTATGTACTCCAGAAACTAGACTCCAGACTGTGAGGCAGAGTCAAACACAGGCTTAAGATGTGAACAGCAGGACAACTGTCTGGTGGGCTGATCTAGGCACTGTAGGGAAAGGGATGGATACTGAATCAAGGCGACCAAAGTCCCCATTCCCTATTATCCAAAACAGGCCTTTCATCAAATGAAATATGTAAAGTTGCTCTGCAAACCCTAAAGCACGATATAAATGTTGCCTGTTATCAAATATTATGCTTTACTCTGTCCTTAACACAAAACTGAAAGTCTATTACCTCTACGAATTTGAATTTAGACAGGGCTGTTGCCAAGAGTCAGTCAACAAACATTTATTAAGCAACTATATTATGCACCAGGCATTGTACTAAATGCTGGAGATACAAAGAAAGACAAAAAAGACAGTCCCTGCCCTCAAGGAGCTCACAGTCTAATGGGGGAGACAACATGCAAACAAATACAAACAAGCTATATGCAGATAAATTGGAAGGCAGATTTTTAGGTGAGAACTAATAGAAGTCAGGAGGCAGATATGAAGAGGGTGAACAATCCAGGTATGAGAGATGACCAGTAAAAATTCCTGTCAGGACATGGAGTCTCTTGTGCAAGGCACAAGATGGCCAGTGTGACCAGATAAGATACACATGTAAGTGTACAAGGTGTTAACAGGACTAGAAAGGTGGGATGAAAGGTTACCTAGATTATGGAGTGATCTGAATGTCAAAAAGGCTTTTATATTTGATCTTGGAGGTGACAGGGAGTCACTGGAGTTTACTGAATACAGGACTGACATAGTCAGACCTATGCTTTAGGAAAATCACTTTGGTAGCTGAATTTAGATTGGAATGAGGAGAGCCTTGAAGCAGGCAGATCCACCAGCAAGTTACTGCAGTGGTACAGACATGAAGTGATGAAGGCCTGTACCAAGGTGGTAGCAGCGTTAGGAGAGAAGGGGGCATTATTTGAGAGATTTTGCAAAGGTGAAATTCAAAGGCATTGGCAACAGCTTGGATATGAAGTGTGAGAGATAGTGAGGCGTCAAGGATTTCATTGGGAAAGCCTGGAGGACTGAGAGCATGGTGGTGACCTTAACACGAACAGGTAAATTTAGTAAAGGGAAGGTTGAGGAAGAAAGATGAATTCAAAAGAATGTTTTCCAACCCCAACTGGCAGTTGAAATGTTTCCTCCACTCCTAGCCAGAGTGGAGGCTCCCCTTCATACTAAAAAAGTATGAGGCTCTTAACCTTAGATTTTCCCAGATCAGCCAGAGGTTGAAGCCTACTTTGAACACAGGGCTCCAATTTACAAAGTGATTTTTCTATTCATTATCTCATTTGATTTTTATAACAGCCCCTTGAGAGAGGTAGGATAAGATTATAAATCCAACTTTCCTGTAAGAATGCAAGCTCAAACGTAAAAATACTTATTCAAGCTAGATATCAGGGATGGGATCAACACTCAGGTCCTTCCTGACTCCTAGGTTGTATGTTTTTCTGTATATCACACTGCTCATGTCCAGGACTCCACAGGGACTTGGCATTCAACTGGGTGGAGGTAATTTTCCTTTCTTCCTCCACCTATAGGAAAAAGATCTCCCAATGTTTTCTGTAGGGCACAAACCTAGCCCCAGTTAGTTGCATGATGCAAAATCAGATGCACATATGGGTCACATAGGGCCAGTCTTCCCACACTGTTCCATCAGGAGTATGTAGATGAAGGCCAAGTTCCTTTTTCAGCCCTCAGAATAGGGATGGAGATCAACCTAGATAATCATAGAATGTCAAAGTTGAAAAAGTCCTTAGGTTACTTACTCCAACTTCATTTTATAAAGAAGGAAACTGAGACCTAAAAAGAGAAAGTGAGTGACTAAAATGTCCATATCCTTTGAACTAGAGACTCCATTACTGGGCTCATACAACAAGGAAGCCATTGATAAGAAAAAAGTCCCTTCATACTCCAAAATATCCATGGCAGCAATTTTTGTGATAGCTAAAAACTGCAGAGAAAGAAAAAAGGAGTCTGAATGCAGATAGAAGCATACCATAGCTCTCCTTTTCCTTTGTTGTTTTATTGCTTCATTCTCGTGGTTCCTCCCATTAGTTCTAATTATTCTTTACATCATGACTAATGGGAAAATATGCTTCACATGAATGTATATGTAGAGTCTATGTTGGATTGTATGCCATCCGGAGGGGGGGAGGGAGTGAGAGGGGAAGAAAATTTAAAACTCAAAAAATATTATGGAAGTGAATGTTGAGAACTAAAAAAAAAAAAAGCAAAAACCTGGAAACAAAGTAGACGCCTATCAACTGGAGAATGGGGAAACAAATAGTGGCACATGAATGTAATAGAATATATTACTATGCTGTAAGAAATGGTGTGTGAATACAGAAAAGCATGGAAAATATCCATATGAACTGATGCAGAGTGAAACAGAAGAAAGAAAATAACATACACAGTAACTAAACAGTGTAAATGGAAAGAATAATGATACACCAAAACATCAAAACCAAATGTAACAAAATTATAAAGATCAAGCAGGTCTTAAATGAAGAGATATTAGAAAACACACCCAACCCACTCTTTTGTGGAAGTAGAAGGTCCACAGGTGTTACACATTGCACATTCTCAGTCTTTTTCAATGTATCAATCATACTAATCCCCCCCCCCAAAAAAAAGTACTGTTTGTCAAATGGAATGGCTCTCTGGAAGGTGGAGGGGGAGAAATACACAGGATACTGCAGTGATGTAAGAAACAGAAAATATCGATAAAAACTTATTTAAACAAAAGAGAGATAAAGTGAATTGCTGGCAGTAGGAAAGCCTGGACGAGAACTAAGACCTCTAGACTCTTGCTACTGTTCTCTCTGACATACGACACTGTCTCTTCCTTAAAGGACAATCCCACTATCACCTCCTAATGACCACTCTCTGTAGGTGGAAATTTTCCTTTATTACCTTATGTATAAAAATGTTTTTCATCAAATCATTAGATATGAAAGATGGAAGTGAGTTAAAGATCACCTAATCTAAATTCCTAATTTTAAGCATGAGGAAGAAATTAATAAAGTAACTATCTCAAGGTCAAAAACAAGTACTAATTGGCAGAGATTCAAACCCAAGTCTTCTACCTTCAAATCTAGTGTACTCTTCGGTGAGAGGACTCTGCATGTGGTGGTGGGAGCTCAGGGAAAAGGGCCTATGCCAGAGTGAGTTAAGAGAAAACCTGAACTGGGATAGGTCTGAGCTACTACTGGGTTCAAAGTCTCTATTATCTCCTTTCTGAAAATCATCTGAGAGCTCAAGGCACCCTGACACCGAAAAGAAATACAGTGGACTGGGCTTTGAAAGTTGAAGACAATAGTCTGTTTCTGAGCCTTACAGAAATATAAGGAAAGGGAAATGGATCTACTTATCGATTCGAACTGCCACCACACAGCTTCTGCTTCTCTTAGGTCTGAAGGCGAAGCAGCCAAGCTTTAACTTGCTGGGTAAGCTTGGGCTAGGGGTAATTCTCACTACCCACCTCACAAAACGCAGTGCTAGTAGACCTACCTCTGACTTGTACTGGGCCCCCAACACCACTGAAACCACAGCTCAGACTCTCCTCCTTGCCCTAACAAATTCAACCCCATCTTACAGTGTGGCAAGGAAAGAGTTCTGTAAACCTCAGAGAGCTAGCTAAATGTGACATTATGATTAGATATTTTCTAAGGTCTCTTCTAACTTGGACTGTCTGTGATTCTGTGATTAGGAAGCTGACAGGGGAGGATGTAGATGCAGGGCATGGAAGCAGGCACTCACAGGAGGGATGAAGGTGACAAGTTCCCCACCTTGGACATCCTCAAGCTAGCTGGGAGGGTCTTTGCGGATGGAAGAAGAAGCCATAATAAGCTGCTCCAGCTAAATCCATCTGTGACCAATCTGCAGCTATCCCAGGATCAAGATTCTCTGTCTTAGACTCTGGCCATTTCCAGGCTTTTAGATTTTTTGATATTCCTGTGATTTTCTAGCCAAGTTCGGTTTAAGAAAAAAAAAATCAACCACCACCACCTCAGGTCGGGGGAGGGTAGCACAAGCAACCCAACTGATCGATGGATCAATTGATCAATCTCTCACACACACTCTCACACACACACACACACCCTCTCTTTCACAGCCATTGGTCACCAGTCCCTGTTTCCTGGAAGGGCCCTCTTCCTCCAAGCTTTACGAAAAATTCCAACATCATTCAGGCTGAACTAAAGAGAATAAAGCATTTGATTTATTCTTTAGTCAACAGAGATGGCAGCAGATTGAGGGGCTTGAGATAATATCCCGCTAACTTCTCAGATCTCAGGCATGGCATACTAAAGTTTCTGTGACGAATGACAGCAGCAGTCTTAAGGGAACAGACAATTCCTGGGGAACAATCGTTCAGGGTAACTCCTATTAACCAGGACCCTATCACCAGACTGATCTAAAATCTATATTCCCCCCATATACAGAGAGATATGTCTGCAGACCAGGAAGGAACTTGATGTGTGCCCCCTTGCAAAAAGCTCTTGATCCAGGCTGTCATATCCCTTCAGTAGCTTCAGAAGCCTCAATCAGAGCAACTTTTGATTTTATTCTTAACTCTACCACAGAGAGACTGCCCATGGGGCACATCCGAATTGAGCCTGGCACCCACCAGCCTTATACAAACCACAAAGACCTAAATCATGTTACAGAAAATAAATCATGTTCAGCTCCATGACAGCCAGACTCTCTGCAGGCAATGAGAACCACATTAGGAGAATCATGACATGAAAAACTTGAAATGGTATAAGGAGGAAAAAAAACCCCAGAATGGAGACATTTTCACTTGAGGTTTCTCTCCAAAAAAAAAAAAAGAAGCAAACTACAAGACACTGTATCTCAGGTCAGGCTCTATGCCCCTCCTAAGATCATCCTGTGTTGTGGGTACACAAAGACTGAGGAAGGCTGTGTGTAAGCTCAGCCAGGGAATTCACTTACAGAGGCTGGCAGCTGAGGGCTTTGATGAGGATCCTGGCCATTCTGACTCAGAGCCCCTCCCCCACCCCTCAGAGCCCCACTGTGGACATGGAAAGGGAGACAAGGACAAAAAGGTCAGATATCTGTAGTGTCCCCTACCTGAGGTGGACATGACAGGGCTGGGCTTTGAGGAAAGAGGCTCTGCTTATTAGAAAGTTATCACAAATCCCAGCCAGGCCCCTGGTTTTCGGCTGCCACTGACCATTGGCAGCAAAAGACCAGACTCAGTAGAGACGGGGAAACAAAGGACTGGTTCAGGAGGAAGTAACTTGGGGAATGAGGTTCCTCAGAAACCTGTCAGCCCGCTGAAGCTCACAGACATCAGCAGCCAAGGCACTGACAGTAACACTCGCTGAGTTGCCCTTTAATAATCTCACACTGAGCAAGTCCTGAGGGAGGACGCTACAGTCTGGTTTATGCCTTCCTCCCCCTGGGGGCCTGCCCCTCTAATCACAAGAGCCGTCCTTCCAGCCATCCCGCCATCGCTCATCCACACGAGCACAGTCAAATGCAGGCTTCCCTAGCTTCAAGTTCACCTCGTTGTGTAGGCGGCAGAGCCACTGGGTGAACCTGTTCCGACTGCTGGTATCTGGCTGGTTTCTGCTCAACCTGCAGGAGAATGGGGCAGCATAGGGAGGATCAAGAAAGAATGGGTATGAGAGAAGCCTGGATCCCACCAACGCTATCCCAGACACAGTTTGGACATGAACCCCTCCCCGCGCAGGAGACACTGGACTCTGTATGATCTAGACCATCTGATTCTCTAAGAAAGCCCTAATTCTCAGTCCCCATACAACACTGAAGAGATCAATTTTTCTTGGGATCCAGCTTTCCAAATGGAAAATGGAGCCTAAACAGTACCTAGAGCTTCAGTATTTGCCCTTTCTCCACTTGGGGACAAACAGAGATGACAGACTGAAATGCTCTGGCTGATAGCAATAGTTCACTTTTTGCCCTTACCATATTACTGAAGCTTTGCTATTCTAGGTATGGAATAGCACCTTTCACCTAAGAGGGCAAGATCAGCCCAAAAACACTAGGTCCGGACCCTCTGGGACTCTGAAGGGATAAACTCTCCCTGGATCAATGATCGATCCTGCTATTCATGGATTCTTCTGCCACCCCTGCAGAAGAAGTCCTAGGACACCACAGGGGAACCCTGCACCATTAGGTTCAATTCCCCTGAAGGCACTTTAACAAAAGCAATGTGTGGAAAGGTGCCTCAGACATAGATCAAAGCAAAAAGAATCTGGCAGATTTATTGGGAAAACACTATTCAATATCCCCACCGGCCTTTAAAAACAGAGTGCTCTTAGGAAACCTGTATTTTCTCCTAATACCTTCATACTGTAAGCATATCTAGTATGTATCTTATAAAATCCGTGGAAAGAGTACCATGAAGCCTCAGGCAGGTCATTAGCCCATATTATAGAACTTTACAAGCTCCCAACCCCAGGAAGGTACTTAAACTCTTCCCTGGGGCTTTAGGCAGAGAGTAGAAGGGGTGGGGCAAGTTAACATAACACTCAGGCAACAAAGGTCTATTTTCTGAACCTCGGTGAGCTCTCTTCTGCCCCAGCACATCAATGCCAACTACAATCTCTTTTACAAAAAGCATAAGTAGCAGTGGCAGATCACTACTAACAGCTGAGCTTTTTGAAAGTCTGATCATCCCTGCCAGTGAGGCCTCTAACACTTTAGGACCACAAGAACTGAGCAAAAGTCACCTCCTGGCTTCTACTGCCAGGTATTTGAATCATATCCAAGTGAGGAAATAGGTAGACTAAGGGAAACAGCTTCAGGCTTGGCTAAAACCATGAAACAGGTTAATACTTAATCTCCTAACTTCTTAAATGGTCCCCTAATCTCATTGTTTTTCAAAGTGGACATGAAAAGGGAAATCCTCTCTGGGAAATTTTCTGGGATAGTTACCAGTTATGAGGATGAAGACAGGGTTACAGAAACACAGAATCTTAGAATTAGAAAGGACTGTAACAGTCATCTATTTCAACTTGGACCTGGATCAAGAACTCCTCCTATAGCATTGTTGACAAGTGGGTGGCTAGCCTGTCTGAAGATCTTCAATGAGGGAGGAACTCACTACTTTTCCAGAGCAGCCCATTTCACTTTTGGACAGGTCTAACTGTTGGGAAGTTTTCCTTCTGCACTGTTTTTTTAATTAAAGAGTCAGGGGGCAACCAAACCCCAGGGTTGAAGAAGCCAAACCTTGATAAACATGATCTAAAAAGTCCACCACCTCTACCTACCCTCAGCCCACCTCCAGTTCCTAGGTAGTACACAAGCTTGAAAAGAGAGCCTGAGGAAGATAGATAACCTAAATTCTACCACTGGTGATCATTCTGGGCCTCATAAACTTCCACTCTTTCTTAGGCTAGGGCTGTCTTATACTAGGGTCCAAGTAGGGACCCTTCAGATATAGCACTAAGACCTTGTATAAGATTCACAGGGCCCCTACAGTTAAGGTTTAAAATGTTGTCTCTGTGTGACATCACTAACTAGCTGAAGTATTTCATAAGTAACTAACCCTTCCATTTCCCAAACCTCCCAAACCTTCTCCCCAACTCCAGCCTACAAAACATGGGAAATCAGTCTGGTGGCACATTCATACACAACTTGCCTTCTCCTTATATCTTCAGCACATTCATCACATGGGAAAAACTTGGAAAATAGATGTATAAACTGGGCCATTTCTTCCTGCTGGTCTAGGGTAGGGCAGTCTGGATAATATGCAGCCATTGTGTGTAAGAAAGCCCAACTGTTTCGCCCCAGCTCCTCTCGATCCAGAGGGCAATCAGCTGGCAACTTGTTTTCCATCTGGGAAAGAAGGAAGATGAAGGCTTAAAAATGAGATTTCTGGCTAATTCCCATAGGCCCAATATTTTAACAACAACCCACTTTGTGCAATCAGCAGAAAGCTTTGAAAATCTCAGCCAATAGGATTCTACTTTATTTGAGGCAAACGCACTCTTGGGCACAGCAAAAGAACAAGACAGTAGACTGCCAAAAATATACTCTAAGGGCATTTGTCTCAAAGCACCACTAGCAGTGTTTTGCTGTTTTGAGAGGGATAATGGGAAGGGAGGCAGCAAGGCCTTGGGGTCTCCAAGGTCCTGGCCTATCTTGGAGTGGAGAGGCATGATTTGAACTTGGGCTTCTTTAGGCTCTAAGTACAGCAGCATTCTTCCCACCAAACTACACTAACCCCTGGGGGCAAGTCACTTAATCTCTCCAGAACTCAATTTTCCTCCTGTAATAATAATTTGAAGGATACAGGGGTAATATCATTATTCTCATTTTACAGAACAGGAAACTGAGGCTCTGAAAGTATTCGAATTATCCAGTCAGTTGTTGGTCTCCTGACTCCAAGGCCCAACGAGTTTCATTACACCACACTGCTTTGTCTATAAGAGGAAGGGGAAGGAGAAGGGGAATGGAATAAGCATGCATACAGCACCTATAGTGTACCAGACACTGTGCTAACACCTTTATTAATACCACCTTATTTAATTCTCACAACAATCCTTTGAGGTACAGTTGAGGAAAATAAGGCAGACAGAAGTTAAGTGACTTGCTCAGAGCCACACAGTAACTAAATGTCTTCTGTCTGGATTTGAATCCAGGTCTTCCTGACTCCAGGCCCAGTGCTCTATGCACTGAGCCAGACACCTACCTGCTTCAATGTCTAAGGACCCTTCAAGCTACAAATCCTATTTTCTTTTTGTCTACTTCGGACAAAAGGGTGGGGGAGGGGGCTGGGCTAAAAAAAAAAGATAATTTTATTCATTCTATCAGCTCCCATGTCCTGCTTAGGTTAGGATTCTATGGGGAACCAGGCCAATGAGAATCTAAAAGAAAATCTGGGTTTTCTGGGCTGATAGTGGGGGGATCTGAGGGAGGGTAGGAAACTAGGAGGCTAGGAGCCTCAAAACTTTTCTAAAGAATAAGGCTGAAAAGGTTCCCTCTAGGTGAGCCAGATGTGGGGTTTATTTCATTAGGAAGAGGAGGTGCGGCAGGGAGGGAGAAGCCTGACCCTAGAAGAGGGAATGGGGATACCCACATCTGGGAAGAGACATTGAGCTAGGAGCTGGGGGCTGGGGAGGAGGGGTCCAGAGACGGGGGACATGAGTGTCCAGGGGAGGGGGAGGAGTGACAGGAGCAGTTTGGCCCGGGGGGGGTGTGGGGAGGGGAGGTAGGCAAGTGGGCAAATGTAGCTTTGACATGTGAGCCTGGTGAGCACTCCTGGGAAGGGGAAAAGGGGGGTCCCCTAGATGTGGGGGCGGAAGAGCCAGCAGACTCGTGGCCTAGGGGAGGGCTTTTCCCTTCCCCTTCTGCAGTGCTCCGCCCCCCCCCCCCCGCAGGCGGCAGGGCCTCACCGCAACCTGGGTCTCGCTTTCCGAATTCTCCCGTGCCTGCTGCGTCTTCATCCACGTCTTGAAGTCGACGCAGGCCCGACAGGGCCGCTTTCGGGCGGCGGCTTCCCCGGCAGTGCTAGCCGTCTCCGTCGACGCCTCCTCCTTGGCCTCGTGTGACCGCGCGCCGCCCGGCAGGAAGGAGAAGAAGCTGGAGGGCGAGAAACGCCGACCTTCGCCGGGCGCCGCCATCTTAGTCACCCAAGGAATGCTGGGACGGGCGGCCTCCCTCAGCTTCCCCGCTAGCCCCAGCCCCAGCCCCAGCTTCAGCCCCAGCCCCGCCTTCGAGACCGCCCCGGCCTCCGGGCACAGCCCCGCCCCCGCCTCGGTATTCTCCGAGCAGGCCCCGGGCGCCCCATTCTCCAGCTGGCCCGACGCAGGATCCTTCTTCTGCTTTCTCCAGTAGAAGAGCAGCGTGGAACGGTGGCTAATCCTGCCTCTGTGGCGCGCTGGGGCTCGGGTTTTGGGCGGGGCCTTAGGCCGCTCCTTGACTTGGCACCTGTCTTGGGACTTGGAGCGCCGGGACTTGGAGGGTCGAGACCCGCCCTCTGCCGTCGGCGGCCGAGTCGCCTTCATCCCTAGGGCACCTCGGCCCACCTTCCCCTTTTCCCTCCTTCAGCCCCTCCTTCCTCCAGAAACCAGCCCCGACATGGTCGGTCCCGCCCTAGGGACCCGAGAGGCCGGAGGCCGAGCGATCGTACTACCAGGGCACTGAGCCCCTCACGCCCTCGGTCCTGGCAGTCCAAGGCGCCCGGCAACGGCCGCCGTGACGCTAGGGCGGGGCTGTGACGTCAGAGCGACCGGGGCGGGGCTCGGACACGCGCTTCTCGTGGATGTTACTTCTTTCCGAAAGCTCTCTCCCTCGCAGACGTTTGCAACCTGTTACGAGTCCTGGGACTCCTAGAGGGGCCGGTTAACATTGAGCGAAAATCTATCCCTGCCGTTTCATAGCCGTGTGACTGTGTCATTATTCCCATCTAGGGCCTCAGTTTCCTGACCTGTAACGTAGGGACGGTTGGACTAAATTTGATCTCTAAGGGCCTTTCCAATTCAAAATTCCACGATCTTACTATTTGTCGTCCACCCACAACTATTGTCGACTCTTGGAGGGCAGGGATTGGGCCAATGGTACCTACCCCCAAAATTACTTTTTATTTCTTCATATGTTTTCATGTTGCCGGCCCTGAAAGAATGTAAACTACCTGAGGGCAGGGCCTGTCATTTTTTGTCTTTGTATCTCCTAGGCCCAGCACGGTGCAAGGGCATTTTGAATAATATGCCCTTGAATATTGAATAAATAGCTGAATGAGTGTTCGCTGATTGATTGATTGATTGATTGATTGATTGTATGGCACAACTCAGTAAACATTTATCATGGTCTAGTATCAAATGAGAAAATATCTTTAAGTACTTTGCAAACCATAAAGTATTAGATTTCATTAGCTAGTATTATTACTATAGTTGAGGCACTGGGGCAACATTATAAAGATGAACATTGATAGAGCCCCTACATTCTAGGAGCTTACTTTCCTAATCAAATCTCTGAAGAGGCAGTCATTTCTCCTTTGCTGGTTCATGGTCTTCTCCTTCCCCCTAAGTGTGGCTGGTTACCAAAGCTGTATCCTTGGGTTTCTTCTCCCAGTACATGGCTTTCATTATCACCTCTATTTAGTTGCTTCCCTTATTTATGTATTCAACTCTGATCTCTCCCCTGAGCTCCAGACCCACGTATCTCCGGTATGCTGGACATCTCCACGTGAATGCCCTATTGACACCTCAAACTCTAATATCCCAAGCTGAACTCACCATATTCCCCTCTAAACCTGATCTTCCTTTCAGCTACTCTATTTCTTTGTTGAGACTACCATCCTTCCAGTCATCCATGCTCAAAACTTTGGCACCATCTTTGACTTTTCCCTCTCCTTTATCATCCACATCTTCTCAAATGCAAAGTCCTGTCCAGTTTTCTTCCTTAATACCTCTTATGTTTCTTGTCTTCCATCCATTGCCACCTCCCTAATTCAATCCCTGGCTTATTGTAAGTTTCCTAATATGTTCCCATATCTCATCTCTCCTATCCTTCACAAACATCTGTCAGAGTAATCTTAATCAACAAACCTATTGTTGTTTGTCCTTTATTCTCAAAGAGGACCATGACATTAGGGAGGTGATGCCATGACATGCAGGTGGATTGGATTTAAGTGAGGGAGGGCTGTGCAAAGTCACCAGCCTCACTTTCTCCTCCAGAGCCATCTGGGTCCAGTGGCAAGATATAGATCAGGATGACTGGAGATGGCCCTGGATACATTGGAAGGCCTTGGCCTTTTTAAGCTAAGGTCTTTAACAGGACTCAGTTTGACTGAGGCAACACCCAATCAGTGATTAAGGCTAGGTAAGAAAAAAATAATAAAATAAGCCTATTAAGAACCTACTGTATGCCTGCACTGTCCTAATTGCTAGAGATACAATGGCAAAAGTCAAACAGTGCCTGCCCTGACAGAACTTGCATTTTAACCAGAGATGACATGCACATAATAAAGTATGTATGGAGCATAAACAAAATGAGGTCATTTTGAGGAAGGGCACCAGCAGCTGGGAGGACTCAGAAAGGCTGAAGGTGGTGCTTGAACTCAGTTTTAAAGGAAAACAGGTAAGAAGGGAAAGTATCCCAGCCAGAGCAGCACTCTAATCATCTCATTCTTCTGTACAATTTTTGGTTTAACTTGTAAGATATAATGCATACTCCTTTCTCTGACATTTTAAGATCCTCTGCAGTCTGACATCTTTCTGTCCTTATTGCATATTGTTCCATTTCACAAATTGTGTTCCAGTTATAATGGACAACTAGTTTTGGTCCCTGATCATATCATGTAACTCCCTCTCTTTGTGTATTTGCAAAGGCCATTCCCCATGCCTGAATAGCACTCCTCATGTCTAACATTCTCTTCCTTTAGAGTATCACTCAGGTGTCATCTCCTCCATGAAGTCTTACAAGGCAAAGGAAAACTTAGGAAGCACCACTGTACAAAATTCTGTACTGAATTCCTCCACTGAAACTGACCTCTTCTCAAGTTTTCCTAGAGAGTGTATTTTGTATCCTTCTTTTGATCACAGTACATTCTATCCTGTATTACCATAATTTATATTTCTTTTTGTCACAAATTTGACCTCAGACACTTGACACTTAATAGCTGTGTGACCCTGGGCAAGTCACTTAACCCCAATTGCCTTGCAAAAAAAAATAGTTTTGCTGGATCTTGATCTGTCCCTGTAATCCCCACCCTGAAGACTGAAATGAGGTGTAGATCAAATATTGGTCCTGTACTCACATGGCTTGACCCAACAGGCCTCAAACTAGCATCCACAGAGACTAGAGAATTGCCGTGTTCTAGGGCTCTATTAAGTCCCTTCTCTCTTCACTTCAAAGCGTGTCATCCTGCCTTTGATGTTACCACCCTCCATCTCCCAACACTTTAAATGAAATGTAACTAGAAATGTTAGGTGGCACAGTGGATGGAGTACCAGGCCTGGGGTCAGGAGGACCTGAGTTCAAATCAGGCCTCAGATACGTACTGTGTGACCCTGGGCAAGTCACTTAACTCTGCCTCGGTTTCCCTATCTGTAAAATGAGCTGGAGAAGGAAATGGCAAACCACTCCAGTATCTTTGCCAAGAAAACCCCAAATGACTGAAACAACTCAACAACAACAACATCTGGAGATGCAAACTAGTACAATGAGTCTGTGTCCTGGGGGCAAGATATAACTCCTTTTATATCCTGCTCCCAGTGAAGGAGTCCCAGGCTCCTGAAATTGTACTTAAATATCTGCAAATACACATGTAAGCATCTTTAACTGTTATGTAATGCAGTCACATATAGTGACTTCAGTCACACAGTACAGTGTATACTCAGGTATCTAACTGAGAAGGAGATGAGACTGGAGTAACAGGCGTGGGGATAGGTGTGTGGAGGCCATGCCATAGAGCATGCATAGAGTTGAGTTGAGTTTCCCTGGCCAGTTCTGGTGACACATGTGGCTCAGTGCTGAGGAGCTTTGTGATGAAGAAGAATCCCCTTCTTGGTTCCTGAGGCCCAGTGATGGTAACAGTGGAAGCTACCTTAAAGAGGGCTGGAGGCTGAGCTGAGAAGAGCAGCCCACTGAGACCTTAAGGGTAGTAACTCAGGCCTTTAGGACCCTTACTTCCTGTCTGCTCATTGTGTGAGACTCAAGGAGTCTCTCTCTTGGACTTCTGTTTGGAGGGAGGAGGGAGGAGGAAGGGGCCCCTTTCCCTGCCAGCAGCTTGGATGGCTGTTCACACATATCAGCAGGCACATCTATTGCCTAGGGGAATCTGGACCTAGACCGTGGGCCACTGGCTACCCCTATTAGTCCTGTTTCTTTCCTATAAGTAACGGAAGAGTAATAGTGAGAGACAGACGTTTATCAAGCCTCAGATAGTTCCTCATTCTGACAGCAGGGGGAAGTTTCTGCAACTATACCCTTCTCAGAGAAATTGGCCGTCAGCCCTGGCTTACGGGAAGATTTGAACCTTAAAGAAATTGTTTCACGTTTTGTTTAAATATAAACCTTCAGGAAAATATAATAGGAGTCATGATTTACAATTTCATAATTTAAGTCTTTGGGAATGCATCATCATAAGTCTTTTGTGTTTAAAACACTACTTTCATGTGGAGGAAATTAAGCTTTATACATGATGTACATGTTGTACATTGAATATATTTGTGGTGCCATTTGGGGAGACCCTAGACATGAGCCGTGCCTAAGTTTTAAGGGATTTTTCCTGGAGTCCCAAGATGGGGGCATATGAGGTGGGGACAATGAGAAAGAGTCTGACCATTCTCATTACAGACCAAGTTCCCCTAGGACTTTAGAAGCACTTTAGAAGACCATAAGAAGGCATCTTTTTCTTCTAGGAAACATTAAGAAACAATATTATGATGATGTCTGAAGAGTTTGGCCTCTCCTGAATGGAAAATATTATGAATCTCTTCCTTGAATAGAAACCATAACAAATTCCAAACAAACCCCCTATCATTTCTTATAGTAGAAAGATCAATTAAGTTCAGGAAAAAATCCTGATTCCCCAAATTTAAGATTAGGTAGTAAGCAGTCTGAGAGTGAGTATATTTTTGTTTAATAAAATTTAAGCAGTATCTCTTAAGTTTACCTTGACCAGAATGGAAGGGGAAGCCTTAGAGAGAATGGTTAAAGAGGTAGTAATTGGTTTGAGGAAAATATTTCTTTCAGGGCACACTATTATGAACATTGTTATTGTTCCGTTTAGGCAAATCAAAAGCCCTGAATTTAAACTCTGTACCTTTGTTTTATCTTGCTGAAGAAATTTTTGTCTTTTGTTTCTTGAACACTATAAAATGTAGTAATATAAAATGTAACTTTGCTTAGGGCAAGGAGAATTCTAATTAGCATGGGAAACCTTGCTGATTTGGTCTCCTTCCAAGTAGCAGTGCTTGTAAATATCTAATAAATTTTCTCTCACAGTCATTGTCTAAATAAATTCACAGTACGAGAGTTTTTTTCTTCCATAGACTGAACCCAGTTTTCTGGAGTCCAGAACTGGGGTCCCCTGCAGTTCATTGTGTGTGACACATGGCATTTGAATTATATTTGCATGCTGTGAGCATGCAATACAAGTGGAAAAACATAATAACGTAGCTACATATAATAACAAATATATATATGACAAGATTAGATGTATTAGACCAAAGGCACAAATCTTATGCAATATATATAACAGGTAACATTGTAAAACAGTTGCATACAATAGTATGGAGTCCACACTCTTAGCAGAGACATTTTGTGACCTTGGTAGAAGCTTTATTAAACTGTCACTTGCAATTAAGAGCTTCAGACCAACGTTTTCTAACCAATTTTCATTTTCACCAGTCTTTTTCTCAAGGTCTTCCAACATCTCCAGAACAATAAAGTCTTCCAGATACACAAGTAGATAGTTCATGTATTCTTCCGCATAAGTCATTGAAAAGCGACAGTAACCATCAAAATACTCTGGAGGCATACATTCATACTGATAGCATTCAGCTTGTCAGATTAAGTCTATCTTTCATATTTTTCCTCTACCATGGAAATCTGATAATATCCCCTTTGCAGGTCTAATGCTAAAAACTGCTAACTTGGAAACAATCAAAAGCATCCTGAGCTCATGGCATGATGTATTCATAGCCCTTTTGTTACATGGGCAGAAGTCAAAATA